GAATAACGGAAAATTAACCTTCTACTATGAGATTTTAATTTAAGTTAAGCCGTGAATCACTATTTATTACTCTTTGTCGCTATTCGTCTGTTGTGGTTAGATTAATTACGTTGTCAATCTAGGTCATAATGATTTACTTTACTTTGCAAAGCTGTAAGGTCTGTCACAGGTGACAGAAATACATACTTTATCGAAGATCTTACAAAAACGGGCATAAAAACCTTCCTCATGAACCTCTATTTATTGGTAAAAAGTAAAAACCCCTAAAAACTGCATGAAAATGGTTCAGGTCATTTTTCCGAGCCTTTTTTTTCTTGTTTCATAGTTTTTCTCGTGATTCAATATGGCGGTCCGTACAGTTGATCCCCTTTAGTCCATTATTTCTTATTTTAATGTAGTTTTTAGCCCATTAGTTTGTGTGTAGGTAAGCAAGTATTTAGTGCTCAGATTCATATTTTTCGTCTATTTATTTACATCGTTACATAACATAAGAAATGCGATAAATAATGATGATAGAGTATTTCATTAATGCACGACATGAGTCAACCGGCGCACGCGCACGTGCCACACGTGCGTGACGTCACCATATGTCCAGTCATAATCGGAGTATTATTGTTTCAATTAACACGTTTTACGCTCTCATGTGACTATGAGCATGACATGAAAACTTTTGTTTTGTGTACCTACCTACTTTTTACTATGTACTACATCAGAATTAGTGTTAGGCTGAGTAGCACCACCTAACTTCGACCATAACGGTAACCGTTGTTTTTTCCATGGAGTTTGACAGTAAGATGTTACAACCCAGCTTTAATGCCAGTGTTCTTACCATAAGTTAACGTTAGCGCTCGCTAGCGACAGCGTAAAAAAATTATATTAAATATATGACATATTGTGCAGCGCGCCCCTAACGGCTACTTTCAAGAAATATTAGAAATAAAATCTTCATAGATTTTTTTGACGTAGGTACTCACTAGCGAACACACCTAACGTATGGTAAGCACACAGGTCGAATGACTCTTACCTATATCTGGGAAAAACAGTTGGGAGAAACAATAAAAGGTCAAGAGCTGGATGGGGGTGCAATCAGTGAATGAAGTTGTTTTTCGGGAGATTTTACTTGTTGTAAATGGGGACAACAGTTTATCCCACATGATTGTTATCTATGTGATTCACTTTAAGATTACACATTTGGAGACGTTTTTCATTGTGCATCTACCATAAATATCAAGATATAAATCAGGTTTAATGTCTTTTAAACAGACGTTAACTGCTATTGTTATGTCTGCGCCTCTGTTAACTATAATTTCCTTGTCAGTTATATGCAATCCGAAAGATATAAATCAGCCGACAGTGAGATTATGCTTCACAAAACCTAAGCCCGGTTTCCACCAAGACGAAGCAGAGCGGAGCAGATTTCATTATTTCCACTGCTCTTCTCCGCTGCTGTCTCTGAATTCTATAGAAAAATTTGACGGTGCGACACTTCTCCGCATTTTGTTCCGCTCCGCCTCGCCCTGGTGGAAAGGGCCTTACGTTAACCTTGAATTACCCCAGGCCAGACACGAATGTCTGCAGATTGTATAGATAACCTTATCTCTATCAATTTTGTGGCCATGCACTTTAGTATTTATCAGTGAAGAAGATTAAGCACCACTAGATGTTTTGATGCTTGAATTTAAGCGATTTTGATGTCCACACGGAATCCTCAAACACAGAGGAACTAATATTATCTTACCTCCAACTGCCAAGTGCCAACACACAAAATTTTATCTCAAAGAAAAAGTTGGGATAGCTACAATTATTAATTCTTAGTTTAATGATCTTAGTTATTTAGTTGAAGGGACAATGATAAATATTTCCTCAACATTTGATACATAGATAAAAATCTACTTTCTTTAATTTATTGCTACAATGGAACCGCAAGTCACATTAAAACTATGCAATTTACCTATATTAAAACTTAGAGAATTCAATAAAAACCTATTCTTTCTACAGTATCTGATTACATTATTACTTACATTATGTCAAAAAGGTAATAAGTTTCGTCCGATTACATTTCATTTACATTCCTTGTCTTTTGGGAAATCAAATCGGTAGGGTTGCCTACCAAAAGAAAATTTAAAGTAACTCGAAACGAAAAAGGCCATTTAGTTAAAAAGTTTGTTCTTTTGCGAATCGGTTTCGTGTTAAGACAAATTGGTTTAAAACAAGTGAAGGGAGAGTAATAATAATATTATTTAAGTAATTTCTCAGACAATGTGTCATGCTATGGCTATACCAATTTGTCATGATATCTAGACCATGCATTACCCTTACAACGTTCTATGAATAAATCATATTCCTGCTCATTTATATTCAACCAGTGAATGCCGAAATTGGATCCAGCCTATACTGGGGACTGAGAAAATGGATCCGTCCTTGAATCAATGACGAAAGAAGGTTAGTTAAACATCATCTCATTCGTTCCTTTCAGCCAAATGACGTCCACGGCTGGACAAAGGCCTCCCCCAAGGATGGATTTCCATAACGACCTTAAACATATTTTACTGTGGCAGTATCGAGAAAGAAATCTTTTGTAAAGTCACAGGCAAAATATGTTTGTATAGGTCGCGTAATGAGAGTTGAGGCCGACATGTACTCACACAGATGTAATATTTGAATTCAGGACACACAAATCCGTCAGAATATGTAAGGTGTTAGCACGACAAGCGTATACAAATGCAAATCTTTGCTTGTGATAAGAAAAGACTGTAATTAGTAGATAATTATAAAAATAAACAAGTTTACAAAACAAAAACACGACTTTGGACAAAAAATAACTGACCCGGCAAACTTTGTACCGCCAGTAAAAACTTGTCAACTTATCTATCTAGGTACATAGCTCTATCTAGCCTCTGTATAGCCTATGTTTATCAGAGATAAATTAAAATGGTGAAAGATTTTTTCAAATCGGTCCAATACTTGCAGAGCTTATTCAACACAAAGTACAAACAAACAATAGCCACGATAGCCCAACGGTGAAATGGTCGGAGTGGCGAGATCCGAGGAACGCGGGTTCGAATCCCACCGCCGCTCGACTATTGTGGTGTGGTACTCGTAACACAAGCTTATTTAGCTTAACACGAGGGGCTAATGGGACCATTAGTAATTTGTGCAATACAAATCTATCTACTCGTATATAAATAAAAATGAATTGATGTTCGTTAGTCTGATTAAAAACTCGGGAACGGCTGGGCCGATTGAGCTGATTTTGGTTTTAAAATGTTTGTCGTAGTCCAGGGTAGGTCTAAACGGTGAGCAAATACGCGCGCGATATTGTTTTTCTGTGACAGACAAAATTCCACGCGGGCGTAGCCGCGGGCGGAAAGCTATTTGCTAATAATCTTTAAAAAAAACAATCAAATCTTTTCTCTTTAATATTATTAGTGTAGACGTTTAGCAGCCCTACTAAAGCGAATAAAAAGCTGCTTACTTTAATGTAAGATTGCACGAAAGCCCATAGATTGAAGGTTAAGTTGCGTGTTTGTTCAATAAAAATGAATCAAAAATACAATTCAATAGGGGAATATAATTAATAAAAGGGAGGGTTTTTTTCGGGGGTTAATAATGGCAACCAAATCTTCTTGGCAACCAAATCTTCTTGGCAACCAAAAATGATTTACCTACTTGTAAATCGCACTCAGAATAGAGAACAGTATTTTGAGAAATCGCACAATGAAATCTAGATGTTGTAATCTATACTTCTACTATACTAATATTATAAATGCGAAAGTATATCTGTCTGTCTGTCTCGCTTTCACGCCTAAACCACTGAACCGATTTTGATTAAATTTGGTATAGATATAGTTTGAGTCCGGGGAAAGGACATAGGATAGTTTTATCTCGGTTTTTGAAACAGGGACGCCGCGATAAAGTTTTCTGTGACAGACGAAATTCCACGCGGGCGAAGCCGCGGCCGGAAAGCTAGTTCTAAATATTTTCATGGGTTCCGTAGAGATAGGTGCTTGCAGGTTTCAAGATGTCATTGGGTCCAAATTTTGATTTTTAACTTTCGGCATTAATTGTTTTTATTAATTATGCTAGTAGGACAAATTGCAGGTTTCTAAGTATTTCAAAGAAATATACGACCATCTCTCTATTTTATTATACCAGTTAGTTTGATTTGAATCCGCGAACTCTACGGTTGCGGATTCAATTCCCGTCCGAAATTTCGGTAGGTATTACCAATTCACATCGAATCTTTAGAAGTTAGTATAATATTTAAAATTCAAATATTTTATTATTGAAATATTTTGCTATTTTTGAAATATTATGCTAATTTATTTTCCGCGTAGATTTTCGCGATAAGTAGCCTAAACAATAAACAGTCTAAGTAAGTAGGCGTATTTATTATTTTTTATCAAAATCCGTTCAGTAGTTTTCGCATAAATAAGTAACAAACATCCATCCATCTTCACAAACTTTCGCGTTTATTTTAGAAGATATTAGAACATAAAAGAAGGTCTGGTTCGTTTGCTTGTAAGTAGGTAATTACTATGATGGATGAAACAATGTATGTACCTACATCTTATAATATACATGGAATTATTTTTCCTATCAGGAAAGATGTAGAGTACGCACATTAGGTTATTACTGGAGTATCTTATGTATTTCTCATAGATGCGATTTTGCAACGAAACTATAATGTACAGACGAAAGCACATCGTACTACTCATTTTTGCTGCAAATTCGCATCTTTTACAACTGCATAAGAACCCCCAGTTTTTGCCTCGACGTCTCGTCTCTCCATTAATAAAGTTCACGGAAACATGAACTATTTTCACTAAGGTTTTTAAACAATTTGAAACGCTAACTTTTTAAATAGATACAAAAAGGCGTTATGCAATGCCAGCTCTCAAATTCCCAGACTTTCAGCGATACAATTTCACGAAATCGCGAAAATGTCTCAACTGGCCTTTACTGAGCCTTGATCTTAAAAAACTAAAAAGCACACTTACATCGTTTCTGCTCCTGAGCGTACTTCTTTTGGGTCTTAGTAGCACGTCTTTAAAGTCCAATTTAACCTCGTTTATTATGTTAGGCATTTTCACTTAACACTATTATTTCGGACGTCAAAATAGAGTCGCGACGTGCGGCCGTCGTCGCGCTAATCGACTGACTGGGAGAGTTGCCATAGCGTGCAATTTGTTTCTGCAATTATAAATAGATGGGTAAAATAAATATAGCAACATTGTCATCATATAACTGCTCTACTCATCATATAACAATAGTAATTATTTGTGATTTGTTGACACTAAATTACATGAGTGGTTAAATTTTACAGTCTCTTTATGTCGTATTATAAAATACTCGGTCATATCTACCAAACATTTAACAAAATATTTAAATCTTAATCTCAAATTTTGATGACTTAATTTAACTCTTGGAAAAAACTGTAAGTACCTACCTATGGGTTTTGTATTCTGTTCCTGTTTATTATTAATTATATCTTTCAGTCAATAATATTTAACCTTTAGGCCTTAGTTAATTAAATCCATGACAGTGTTCCGTTTTATCAATTTTAATTATCTTAATCCAAAAACAATTTAAAATTACCCCAAAAATAAGCAGTTACCAAAACCTGGCAACACACATCGCTACAGGCGTGACAGTGACGTCACGAGGACACACAGAAATACCCGCTTTCAGCCTCTAGGTGAAGGTTATGAAAAAAATCGTTCCCGGGCGCGAAAAGATATTGATACTTTTTTTAAACTCTTTTTTATTTTGGCCAGCCAGGTAGGTATATGTGTTGGATTAAATAAAAAAATAAAAACGGTGACGTGGTAAAAAGGTTTGTTATTGACAAAACTATCAGCTGTTCGGTTCGCGCATGCGTGTTGGGGTTTTTGCACAATGTAGGCGAACACAATGGGCCCATCTCACAATAAGTCCGTTAAATCTTGAAAGTAATTTTTATTTTTATTCGTTTTTTGTAAGGGTACACCGTGGAGAAATTACTAAAAAACACTAAAAAGCTTGGCTGCAATTGTCTCGCTCTTATGGCTATCTATTATCGTCTTATCCTATGTTTAATTAACACGCTTTATGACTCATAACTACAAAATTAAATATGCTAATTACCTCATGGACCTATAATTCATGATTCCTTCTTCAATTTTGGAAAAGATATAAACAATTTTGTCAAACTACAACTTGGACCTTCAGTATATAAAACAAAATAAAAAAACAGGGAAAAAATAGAAAATAAAGGTCTTATAAATGATCGCTCTCATTCATGCAGAAAGAAGAACATGTAGGTCTACAAGATTAGTACAAGTTATTTCATTGCTAACACGATACAAAGTAAACCATCATAAAATGATGTTTGTATTTAAATGTTTACATTATGTCGTGCATCCGTTTCGCATTGGCCAGGACATTCAGTCGCTCTTATCACGCAAATCTTTTATCTAATATCTTTAATACCTCAAACCTTCAAAATAACGATAATTCATTTAATCATTATCATCAGGTCAATTGGTTTCCAGTTTCCACTGTACGACATGACCCTCTCTTAAATTACCAGAGGCAAATTAGCCTACACTCCAGCTACGGGGCTATTCCCATCGCTGCAACTCCTGTGTAGTCAGGATCTACAGCTTGACCGCCAAATAAACCCAACCAGTGAAGGTCAAGTTTGTCCCGGAAGAGAACTCCAGCTAGTACTCGTATAGTTCCAAAATACTGAACTGTCCTATCGATGACATTGACAGCGGGGCGCCACCGTCAATACCGAATCGCTGGTTCCGATTTTTGCCATGTTGGAAACCATATAGTTGAACGATGGTAGCGCCCCCCTGTCATTGAGTTTGGCGGGACAGTTCAGCGTGGGTTATCTATATAAAAGTCATTTATTTTCTGCAATAATTAAGCTTTTGAAAAAAGGTTTTACACGTCAAAATGCGGTTCACAGAATACATCTACCTACCAAGTTTCAACAGTATAGCTCTTATAGTTTCAGAAAAAAATGGCTGTGACATACGGACGAACAGACGGACAGACAGACATGACGAATCTATAAGGGTTCCGTTTTTTGCCATTTGGCTACGGAACCCTAAAAATTGCCTATAGCCAGATTCGGAAAGGGGTTTACTGTTCTCTTTACAATTATGATGAAAATTGATATGACATTGACTGCTCTTGGGTTATACAGTTATGCCTATAAGGTTTACGTATGAATTTTTTAATTTAAACATCTAACTTAGACTGAATGATTCATGCAATAAAAATTAAAATGACACGGTAAAATTTAAATGATTTTGTATACAATAAAACCCTGCAAAGTGCAATATCACTTAGTGCATGCAACGTCATTTATAGTTGTTAAAACAGTTGAATTAAAAGTAGGTAATCGGGATTTCAGGGGTTAAATCGTATTGGTACGTACTGGCGCTCTGGCAGACACATTGTCATGTAGGTAAAACAAAAGACTAATTTGTAGTAACATTATATTATCTGCCTATAAAATCATAAATTAATAACAATAGCATGAGTTTTTCTAGTCAATCGTTCGAATCTGGTTCTCTATGGAATGTTGATCACATGGTATGCAAGACTGGAGTGGTCCGCTCTAGCAGTGGATCGAGTGTAGTGCGGTGAGGTTTGCCTGAAAATAAACACAATAAACATTACTTCTTTTTCTTTTAAGGTCATATCAGACTTATCAACTCTGAAAGGGATCAACGCCGTATCATCGCATTTCGCGCGCTGTCAACCGCGAAGCGAGGCGTTTACGTTACGGTGCGGATAAGTGTGCGTTGTGAGTTTCATACAAAGAAGAGTTGACCCTTTCCGTGTCGATAAATGTGCTACGTCCCTTATAGTGTGTTGTAGTAACAAAAGTTACAACCCTAAGTTGGTCAAAGTTGACTGACTCTACGTGGCGTTTTTATGGATGGCAAATCCTTCCTTACGTCTATCCGCCGTCATCATTTCAGCCACAGGACGTCCGTTGCTAAACATAGTCCTCCCTGAATGACTTCCAGATTGGCCGATTAGTAGCGGCCTGTATCTAGCGCCTTCCTGCAACCTTTATTGGTTCAGAGACGCGCGATAACCGCGCGGTTTCTGGGCGGTTCTCATTGGCGACGCACTGAGGCGGTAACCGTGTGGTTTCGGTTAATAGTGTACGAGAACTACCCAGCAACAACGCAATTATCGCTGTGTGAACCAGGTCAACCAGGCCTTATAAAACATCTTTCCACCTTGTTGGTGGATGTACTACCCACGCTGCGCTTGCCAGTGTGTAGCCTCCATTCAACTTCGTAATTGGGCTTAATCTGGCCTGAATTTAGCAATTTTAACTAGCGTTACCGTCACTCCCCTCTTCCTCAGAAGCAGCCCAATCCCCAGTGTGGGGGGTAAAGACAGCCTCCTTGTAGTTGCCGAACCCATCGCACTCCACGTCCGAACCGGTGCGACACTTCTCGCGGGCACAGTCTGGCGAATTTTTAAAGATATTTTTAAGACAACCTGAAGACTTCAGACTTTTAGTCGGCCGATAGTTGGGCCCGATTGTAATTTGGAAGAATCGGCCGATACCAATTTAGGTGAAACAATAAAATAAAAGACGAAAGAAGAGTTGCTAAGCCAAATATTGTCAACTAGCGGCCGCCGGCGACTTCGTACGCGTGGATCGTAAAAAAAATTCGTAAAATCCGTTCTTAATGAGCAGGAGCACCTACGTTCTAAAAGGAATCCCCATGCAAAATTTGAGACTCCGAGCACTTGTAGTTTCTGAGATTTTGTGATGAGTGAGTGAGTCAGTCAGTGACCTTTCAGTTTTATAGATACTTAAATAGAAGATGAATTATTGAATTTATTTATTTGGTTTTCACATTGTGTGAAAGGTCAGCAAAATATCGCAATTGGGTTTTTGCCGTACGGGTTTATGAATAGGTTTAGATCTCATTGGGTTGATGTTTGTTAGGGGATTCCCAGTGTATTAATACACTATTCAGCGATCATTTATTTAAGTGGGTAGTTTAGATACATTGTAACAGGAATTTACATTTGTTTATGTACGTGTTTTTTTTTGTAAATTACTTTCGGGGAAAAGTTTTTTAGGTAGGATACATTCAGTAGCGGCGTAAGGGGGGGGCGGTGGGGGCGGTCCGCCCCGGGTGCCAAGCATCAGGGGGTGACACAAGTCGCGCAGATTAGTACTCACTGACACATCTGCATGGCAAATCTGCGGTGTATGTCATCATACGGGGAGGAGGGAGGGGGGTGCGATTGTCTTTCAATCTTCGAATCGGTAAGTTACCCCCAAAATCCTGGGGGGTACTAGGGGGTGCCTTAAGACTTGTGACGGGGGGGGGGGGAAAAGGCAAAAAGTTTGTTCTAGAAATGAATTCGCCATCCTTTAATTATCCGAAAATGACACCACACTTGCCCTAATACCCATAGTTTTGAAGATATGGGCCTTAAAGTGAAGCGCGGCAGAAGGAAACTTGCCCCCCCTCCCCCTGCTACCACAGGGGGGGCTCCCGATGTCTACCGACGGAAATCTACTCAGGAGCACCCAAAGAACAACTGGTGAAAAAATGAGCCTTCTATACCAAAGTGGAGGGGTCTCCATACAAATCATTGCACTAAATTCCCTACTATAAACAAGAGTCTGGATTTTAATTAATTCTTGGTTGGCCAAATTACAGACTGAGAAATAGCGAAGTATATTGTTTAGGACGGAATTTGAGTACTAACTAAAAAGATCATAACCTCATTTGAAAATTAAAACATACATTATTTATGAAACATACACCATAGTCGCTTTAGGGACGTGCACCCACGAACATCATGTATGTGTCGCAGTCAAATTGTATAATCCGCCGTTTTACATTACAGCTAGGCATTTTGCATTACAGCTCTGTTTTGTAATACGGCGGCTTAACGTTTAGGCGGATTGAATACAGGTGAATGAAAATCCGCCGGAATGTATTCGGCGCCAAACGTTCTTCAATACGGCTAGCCGTAATGTAAAACAGCGTGTCATTACCCGCCGCTTTGATAGTTTTTAGTTCCTATTTTCAATACCGTGGCGCTGCCGGACAAAGTGGCTATGGATTCTGGTGTTCGGCGGAATCCTACACAATAATATTAGTGTAAAAATATGAAATCATGGCTGTGGCCGGTGAAGATAATTTTATCTTAAAGAAAAATAACTAAGAAAAATGACTAAAACTTTATTGTTTTGAGTTACCTGTTCCCTGTGATCATTTTTAATGTCTAAAAAGACTAAAGCTAAATATATTATTTAGTATACAGTAACGAAGATAATAATTCTTAAAATCTGTCTTATTAAAATTTATTTTCATTAAACATTGTTTTATTTTGTAAGTATGGTCACCCTACAATCTATAGTAGTACGATGCGGCTAAACGTGGGCCGCCGTATTGAAGAACGTATCGCAATGACAATCCGCCTAAACGTTAAACCGCCGTATTACAAAACAGAGCTGTAATGTAAAATGCCTAGTGGTAATGTAAAACGGCGGATTATACAATCCGACTGCGACATATGTTTTTTTTTATCCACAACGAGGAAGCTCTTGACCTGTATGATAGATACCTGATGGTAAGTGATGATCAGGCCGAAGGTGGAAGCGAGCTTCACCCGGAATCCTCAACAACGGAGGAACTGGCTATCTTACCTCTAACTGCCGGAACACAACAATGTTGTAACGCGGAGCTCTTCTTACAGTCGGCATCAAATAGTTCTTGACTCCCAAAGTAGCCAAAAAGATCGCAACACGTCTTTGTTATAATTGTATTATAATTGTGTTGACAACTTTTTGGCTACTTTGGGTGTCACGAACTATACTCGACATCAAATAAATCGCACCTCCCGCGACAAGCCCACCAATACTGGCACCATTTAAAAGCCTTCATTTCATTAAAGGAAAGATTTGTACCGCAAAAATGTGTCTATAAAAGGATCCAGAGTCACTTCTTAAAAAAATAGGTAGTTACGCTAGAGCCAACTTTTATGGCTATAAAACTGTTAAGTTGGGATTAATTGCTATGTTAATAAATTGTTAAAGAGGACACGTGAGATCATTATTTGGTTTTATAACCATACAAATTGGTCTAATTGATCCCAGAGGCGAGCTCAAAGTGAGGTCTTTTTTCAAGTCACATTTATTGTATATGTTAATCGTTTATTACGAAATTAAATGTGTTTTTCTTTAAGTATATTTATTGGGCTTTCAAATAACACCAATATTGTTGGGGCACTATGATTGTGTCAGTAGAAACCAATTTTCCTGTAAAACGTAGGTGGGCCGATTTTTGTGATGACCAGTGTAGTTCGTGACACCCAAAGTAGCCAAAAAGTTCGCAACACGTCTTTGTTAAAAATGTATTGACAACTTTTGGCCACTTTGGGTGTCACGAACTATTTGACACTGACTGTACCACCTCCACAATGTGGTACCACTGCCACATGAGTATTTACTAAACTGTGTGCCAAACAAAGGTGTACGTACCGCAGTTCATATTGGAGACCTCCACCCTGGGGACTTTGATGCCCTGTATGATGGTGCCGTCTTCCAGGGCGCAGTAGCATATGAATCGGCGACACTGGACAATGGACAATAACACACAACGGAAAGTAAATGCAAAATAATTGAGAAAAGCACAATAAGTTAATGTATTTAGTTTTATTTAAAAAAAATAATAGTAAATTGTACCTATGTGGCAGGGGTGGCTTAAGACCTACTGTTTACTAACGAAACCCTGGGCGATCTACCACTTACATACTTCTTGAAATCTTTAATGAAACAGCATAGTTTAGTACACAATCATGTAGTATTTTTTGCCTTGCTACGATCGACTGGACTAATAATCGCGATCGACCGGTTGGCCACCCCTGATATATGGTATAAATGTGGCGAGACCTGCTGGTTTATATGCATCAGTATAATATCTTATCTCTACATAGTATTATAAAACAAAGTCGCGCCTGCTGTATGTGCGCTTAGATCTTAAAAACTAAGTACGCAACGATTTAATGCAGTTTTCAGAAAGAGTCGTTCAAGAGTGCAATACATACTCGTAGCACCTGGGACGAGTCGCGACTAGGGTTGCCAGGCGTCCGGCTTTAGCCGGACATGTTTGGCTTTTTAGGGACTTGTCCGGCCAAATATTGCCTTGTCCGGCCTGTCCGGATTTTGTTAGGCTTTTTATTTGGTTGCCGCGCCAGGCGAAAGTCGAGCCACATCAGCCACAGAATCATATAAAGCGCACGCATCAGGATGTTGGATAGTAACCGATGATGATAGTACTCGTACTCACTCATGAACTGACACTAATTGNCGGCTTTTAGGGTAAAATGTCCGGCCAAATGAAGCACAAAGTCCGGCTTTTGTGATTTTGGACCTGGCAACCCTAGTCGCGACACTAGTTGTATAAAACTAATTTTACAAGAAAGAAACGATATTTCTGATGTGTAATTGTTGTAAAATGAATAACCTGCACCGGAGCGTATAGCCACAACGGGGTGCACTGCGGCGCGTCGTAGTGAAGGTGGCCGTCGACTCCGTACTTCTTCTTGAAGTACTTCATCTCACGCTTACATGGTTCTGATAGAATATAACGAAAATAGTTAAAAAATATTATGGTTTAGAAAGAAATACAATTCTAATGTTGCTTCGGCATTTGTTATAAATACCTACCACGAGGGTAGATCTGAGGATCTGTATCATTTTAGTCAATTGTAGTCTACCACGAGACTCTGTCTTCCCAGTAGCCTTATTCACGTAATAAAACTTCAACGACAACAAATCGCTGAGTTGCGATCCTATCGAGTAATCTTAATTCTACCGAAATGACCCTTGTGAATACGGATTTAGAACTGTTTTTCAATGGGACGACTTCTGAACGTCAGCGAGATCTTGACAGTCAAAATAAGTGAATTAGGCCATAGGCACGTACAAATTCAAACACATACCTAAAATTTTCAGTAAATTGGTTTTAAAAGTGCGCTGTAAAAGCCAACTTTATAGCACTAACCTAACCATTGCCTTAGGGACTACAATGTGGAGCAGTACTAAGAAGAAATATGATGTCTCAGCATATATGCAGTAGGTGCATAGGACGTTCCCATATTCAATGGACTGACGACCTCAAGAAGATAGAAGTGGCTTATGAAAAACGTGTCCGAACGTGCTTTGTGTCGTTTCAAAGAATGCTTAGTAATAGACTGCTATTGGCTTAATATAATGAAAAGAGGTTAAAAAAATGAAGAAGGCGTAACCATTAGCTTCGTCAAGGTTCTCGTCCCGCTTCTTTCGACTGCCGGAGCTGGTCACCACCGTGTGGATGTCCTGGCACTTGCCCTGCCGGCAGACCAGCCCGTCGTCGCATCCTGGCTCCAAGAACTCTTCTTCCACCTGTAGTCACAGCGTTAGCAAGGAAAACGCTTGTTCCCAAAATCACGACTAGTTACACCGTCACTCGTTTGGATATTTGTTTGCTGTGCAATGCATGCAGTGGATACTAAATTATCTACATAGGTATATGATGATAATAGAATGAAGCAAATATGCGTTAGGTACGAGTCTATTTTTAAAACTTGAAAGAAATTAAAATGATAGTTATTAGACATCAAATGGTTTTAACGATCATCACCACCATTTCAGCCACAGGACTTGTACCGCTGAACATATAAGCCTCCACCAATGAATTCCATATTGACCGGTTAGTAGTTTTAACGATATTTGAGGTCAATTCCTCCTTTTAAGTGTAAAAATAATTGTGCCACTTGTGACTACTAACTTCAATCTCCTTGGTACCATTGACATCATGTACAGTTTTCTTGAACTCAGCACATTTTTCGTTTAATTCTGTAAATTATAATTTTAAAATATGAAACAGTAAGCAAGTTTTATTGCGTGAATTAAGGGTTCGGACAAACCAACGCGATCACACCGCGATCAGCCGGCGTGCAGCGATGGCGACCAGACCTAAATGCATTGATCGCCATCGCTGCACGCCGGTTGATCGCGTTGGTTTGGCCGAACCTTTAGTAGGTGCTTAATCTTTCGAGGAGTCAGTAAAATAATCAAAATTAACATAGATAGTCTGACTTTCTATACAGGGTGTCTCTGTAGAAGATTGTTTACGTATCAAACAAATGACAACTAACGGTGATACGCGCTGCACCGGCCACAGCAGTTGCACTGCTCCTTGTCTGGTAAGAACGCGCCCGGGGCACACTCGTGCTCAGGCAACTGCCCCGGGGGGCACGCGTAGCCCCGACACGAGACGGGGCACAGGGGGCCCCCGGTCGGAGGCTCGTAGCGGAAACTACGCCGACTACAAAAGACAGCCAACTTAGATTAAGTTACAAAGGGGCCTACTCGGGCTAGAGCCCCTATCCCGGGGGGCACGCGTAGCCCCGACACGAAACGGGGCACAGGGGGCCCCCGGTCGGAGGCTCGTAGCGGAAACTGCGCCGACTACAACAGACAGCCAACTTAGATTCAGTTACAAAGGGGCCCACTCGGGCTAGAGCCCCTGTCCCGGGGGGCACGTGTAGACCCGGCACGAGATAGGGAGCCCCCGGTCGACGGCTCGTAGCGGAAACTGCGCCGACTATAAAAATGGCCCAAAACAAATTAACATTGGGGCAAAGTTTGGCCCTGGCAGTTGTCCCGGGGGGAATTCGTAGCCCCGACACGAGACAGGACACAGGGGCCAACAAAAAGTGGCCCCAGATAAAGTGACATTTGGGTACAGTCCGGTCCTGACTGTTACCTCGGGGGGCACTCGTAGCGGGCACTACGCCGACCACAACAGCTCCTACTTAAGCTGCTTTTTACACCGCCATCCAACTCAAGTTTTCTGTTTGGCCCTAAGGTTCTACTGGGAGAGAATGCCATAAGGCATTAAGTTCGCCTTCTGTAATGCAATTCTTTTTTTGTGTGCAATAAATTTTAATAATAATAAAAAGTGACCCGAGAAGTTGGGGCACAGGGGGCCACCGATCAGCTTGTAACGAAAGCTGAAGAATTTTATACGCTCGTAGTCGTAGGTCAGTAGACTACTACGACAAACCTACAACATCCGTAGCATAGCTTGAGTTCGTAGCAAAATAACAGCTGCTACGACACATGGGAACCGTAGCAGACACGTAGCACGTAGCAGGGTTCTAAATCGAAACCGTAGCAACCACTTGTAGCATGTAGCAGGGCTCAGAGGGGCTACTCCGAAATACGTTATCCGAAGTGTCGAATTACCATCCCTCTCACACAAAGCGAAATGCCGGTATGAGCGATGGTGACAGCAGATCCGAAACTACGTAAACAGTGTTTCAGAGTAGCCCCCCTGAACTGTAGCAAGCACCCGTAGCATGTAGCAGTGCTCTGTAGATGCTACTACGAGTCTACGACGGTTACGTCATTAAATCGATTTAATGACGGTTACGTCACGATTTTCGCCGTTTAAATTATTAACACGACATAATTTTAAACTTTACAAGAGATCGATCAAAACCATCAAAAATTACTTACGTACTTAGCAAGGTCACATTGTAACATTTATGAAAAGTGCTTCATCAAATTATGTTGTGAAAATACTCGTTTCTAACAAACTTACATGTTCAAAGTTTCATTAGGAATCGACGGCACTGATACAGGAACGCCTGTAATGTCAAACAAGCAATAATTATATCACCTAGGCCCAGAACAGACGGTGAAACGCAACTGCAACGAAACTGCAACTGCTAGTTACTTTTGAGTTGCATCTAAGTTTCTGCCATAGCGTCCGTTGAGAGACCACACATGACGCGACCAGTTTGAAACTTTCAGTTTCAGTTTCATTGATCAGAATCATCACAAAGTTGCAGTTTCGTTGCAGTTGCGTTTCACCGTCTGTTCTGGGCCTAACTCTAATTTTAATTATGCAATAGTTTAAAAGAGCATACGAGTACATACATCTGCGAAGGTTTTTATCACATTTCAGTGCTCTCAGCTCTTGCTCAGGGTGACCCCAGTAAGGATTGCAACCAGCACGAAAATCTGCAATAAAGAAAACTCAATACTCAATATTTTATTGCATCCATTATGTACTTAAAATTAGAATATTATGAGCCCTGTAGGGCACGGCAATAAGTAGGGAGGAGGACCACCCTTGATCAACCGAAAAATGTATCAGAAGTTAGAGCCTAATAATTTATCATTGAGATACTCACTTAAAGCATAATAGTGTTTGGAAATTAAGAGTTCTTAAGTTTAAACTATAGGAATCACTCATCAAAATACACATTAATTTTGTTTGACTGGCTCCCATTTGATTGTTATGCTATTTTCAGCTATTTAGTTGTCGATCAAATTACTCCTTTTTCTGCCAAATGAATCACGTCTACTTAAAGTGATTGGCGATTGTTCTAGCTAGAGAATACAACCGAATGAGTATTCGTTTGATTAAAAAAATCGAAAAACAAAATTATACCATATCCATCCGCTTTAACTACACTACTTATCTTTCTTTCACAAATCTTTGATTCCTCCTTACCGATTGTAGTTACCGGTAGAAACTCTTCAGCATCAAAGCTATATTCGTCCTCCATGCAGGATTGGTCCAATTCTGGAAAAAAAAAATTGCAATTTTGCAAATGTTTAGTTTAACTCTTAGCACACAGGCACAAGACTGTATTTTAATGGTATGGTAAGCTCGATTCATACTTAAGCATGGATTTTCAAGCCGCTCAATGGTTTAATTTCAATATTTCGAGACAAATCATCACGTTTGAATCTTATCTCTTTTTTCTCACCATAGAGGTTGACTGGAAGAGATCGCTTCACAGCGATAAGACTTCGAGATCACCCGAATGTTATCGCGATGTAAGAGGCTTGCATTCAGCAGTGGGCTTAAACGCTGCACTGGTACAGATTCGAATGATAAATATGTCGATTGGTTGAAAGATATGGCACATCTAAGTTTTATCAATAAAAGACTGGTTACATCACAGTCTGTGCATCGATCAAACGAGACGAAGATATTCAATGACAAACGCAAATTTCCTAAACATTGAAGGTTATAATGATCATGTTTAAAGTGAAACTAAATGGATGCATCATTTCAAATGCGCTTTGCCAATTTTGTCACGAGTCTTTTAACTGCTGAGATATTTAAATTTTCAACCGACTTCAAAAAAGGAGGAGGTTCTCAATTCGACCCGTATGTTTTTTTTTTTCTATGTTTGTTACGCGATAACTCCGCCAATTATGAACCGATTTGAACAAATCTTTTTTCGGCGTATAGGTAATACCTCAAGGGTGGTCCCATTTAAATTTAATAATAAAAAAACAACCCCCAAGGGTGGAAAATTGGGGATGAACTTTTTTATACGCAATATCTCCGCCGATTATAAACCAATTTGAACGATTATTTTTTTGTTAAATAGGTATTATCAAAAGGGTAGTTTCATGCGAATTTGAAGAATATATTTCACCCCCAAGGGTGGAAAATTAGGGATGAACTTTTTTATACGCAATATCTCCGCCGATTATAAACCAATTTGAACGATTATTTTTTTGTTAAATAGGTATTATCAAAAGGGTAGTTTCATGCGAATTTGAAGAATATATTTCACCCCCAAGGGTGGAAAATTAGGGATGAACTTTTTTATACGCAATATCTCCGCCGATTATAAACCAATTTGAACGATTATTTTTTTGTTAAATAGGTATTATCAAAAGGGTAGTTTCATGCGAATTTGAAGAATATATTTCACCCCCAAGGGTGGAAAATTAGGGATGAACTTTTTTATACGCAATATCTCCGCCGATTATAAACCAATTTGAACGATTATTTTTTTGTTAAATAGGTATTATCAAAAGGGTAGTTTCATGCGAATTTGAAGAATATATTTCACCCCCAAGGGTGGAAAATTAGGGATGAACTTTTTTATACGCAATATCTCCGCCGATTATGAACCAATTTTTTTTGGTCTCAGTGTATGTACTGCCTACCTTCAGTGGTAACATCAAGGTAATAATTAGTTAACTAAAAAGCAAGAAATAAGTAAAATTTTATAAAAAAAAATGAAACCGACTCCAAAAAACCTACACTAAAACGTAGAAAAATAATTACTAATTACCTACTTATTTATTAGGACGAATTATTAATATTTATGTAGGTATACCATGATTGATACTTTTGGAGTCGGTGCAGGCAAACTTTACATGTTTCATAATCTTGGCACCGACTCCAGAAGTATCAATCATGGTATACCTACATAAATATTAATAATTCGTCCTAATAAATTGCAACGGGGCGTCTTAGCTAGCTCAGTCTGACACCCCGCTGTTTAGTACTAAGTCCCAGTTCGCTTTCTGCGATGAGGGATGTGTACCTATCCAGGATGCCTACAGGGATATTGACCAAGGAAACGCACAATCAATAACACAATGACACTTGTATTTCTAGTTCCACAATGGTTCCTTATTCTAACTTCACTGACTCTAAATTTATTATTACTACGAGCAATTACTTTACAGGTTATTCAACAATTATAAATCAATGGCAATGAGAGGTATAGCGACGCGCCCGGTTCGCGTCCCGAAACTAGTTTACGTATCCGCGAGAGGGGCGGCGCCCTGTGCGAGGTTTAGCGAGTATTAGTGGATACTTATAACTAGGGGGGTAGGACGTGTTTTCATACGCTACAACCAGAGACCTAAGTCGTCGGGGAGCTGAAACCGTTAGGGAAAGGCGTCGGACCTACGTGGCGAGGGGGTATGAAGTTTAGGATGGGTGGCAGCAGGATTGCTACCGCGGGTTCGGGATGAGTATCGCATGCACTACTCGGTAGGGATGAGAATAGGTAGCTATCAACGATAGAACGTTTCAACAGCAACACGAAGCTTTATGGCTCCGCGGAGGTAAACGAGGTATCGAGTCAAGCCAAGTTAGTGGGAACAGTGTGGGTAGCAATTCGCTAGGGACTCTGTGCAATGCAACCGAGGGAACAATAGACGCGCGCGCGAACGTCTGGTTGTTGCAATGGCTCCCGAGCGAATGCTAGGCGCCCGCGGTCGCCGCCGTCTCTTATATTAGCTCGGTCCGTGCGGCGTGCGGCCGCGCAGCCGTAGGGTTGTCAAAATCTCTGCGCTCGGTGCTAGGGCTGTCGATGCGTCGCTCGGTGCTAGGGCTGTCGATGCGTCGCGGGGCGCGTCACATCCTCCCTTGTTTTGGAGATTTTTACCTGGAAAAATCACAAGTCTGGTACATTAAGGTTCTTCAAGAACAACTAAAAGTCATGTCAATAATAAGTTATTTTTGGGTAACTTCATAACGAGTGAAAAATAACAATGTAAAACATGACTGAATTTGTATTTAATCATTAGCCCAATAATAACTCTTTATTTAGAATATGACAGTACATTCATTTACTTATAACAATATCAGTTAATTTGGTCTTGAAACAATGTTATTAAGGTATTCTTAATAATTTTTTTTTTTTTGCTTACAATGAACTAATCAAACGCTAATTATAGCTAACTTAGTTTTGAAACAATGTTGTAAGATACCTTTGACCTTTTGTTTACAATTAACCAATGAACTAATTAAACTAGTTGTTTACTTTGTTATTACGAGTATTCAATTATTCCTTGAAATATTTCTTTAATACAATAATAGTATGCATGGCACTTGTTATTATTATTTCTAGTTTACTAGTTTAATTATTTAAATTGGCATATTCAGAATAGGCATCTGATTGATGTTAATAATTTTTACAATTATTAAAAGTTATACAAGGTAATGGCAGTTAAGTGGTTAAGTTTTAATTACAATAAATAATATTTCTTAATGTAAATGGAATGCAGCCTGGCGCGGCGCGCAAACATTAGGCAGGTAAAATCTAGTTATGATTCATCTAGTAAGCGAGTGCTGTTGATCGCCCGTGGCGTATAGAAAAAATGCGTTTCACTGATAATATGCAAATGAGTTCGCTCGGTGAATCGTTCTTACAATGTTTGTTTATTACGAGTATTTAAAAGTTATCGAGAAACTGGTAGTACTATTGACGCGTAGCAAACCGGTTTGTTATTTATGTGAGTTTAGGTTGCGAGTTACGAGTAATTAACAATGAGGTTTGCGTCAATAGTTATTTAACGAGAATAAATAGAACAATTGAATGATTTAAATTATACAGGGTTATTATCTAATGATAATTAATACTTATAGTTTATTGATATGTGATATTTAACGAGATTAAATTCGAGAGCTGCATTATCTAGATTATACAGGGTTGTTAGGTAATGTTAATTAATACTTGTAGGTTATTGACTTGTTTTTAAATACTGAGAAAGTTACTTTAACGAGAACTGACTAGACAATTACTAAGTACCTACTTTGTATCTATCTATTAGAAACCTAACTTAGGTATAAAGTTAAGCTACGAGTAAATGTTACTGGCCTTGTTTAGCTGGTTCTGGATTTGGCCGCGCCTCTTCTTTCTCCCCGGCCGGCTCCTGGTCTGGTCCTCAGCTCGGGTCGGCTCCTCTCCAGGGCCGGACTCGCGCCAGTCCAGGTCTTGTGGGTGGTCGACGGTGTCGACATCGAGGATTTCGGTCCAGTCAGTGGACCGGTTTGATGATTTGGGTAGTGGTCTACTCGGGTCTGTAGACGCTGCGCTCCAGGGTTTGCGTGCGTTGTTAACTTGGCAGGTTTTGCAGTTCTTGACGTACGTTGACACATCTCTGTACATACCGGGCCAATAATATCTCTGTGATATTTTGTTTAGTGTTTTTGCTGTTCCTAGATGACCTGCGGTTGGGGTATCGTGGTTTTCTTTCAGAATCTGGTTTTTTTCGTTGCTGTTTATGCATAATTTCCAGTCTGATGATGTTTCTGTTCTTGGTCCGTATGCGTGATTTATTATTTTCTTGTATAATCTGTTGTTTGTCATTTTATAATCTTTGTTTCCGGTTTTTTGTATTTCTTGAATTTTCTTTTGGATCCAGTCTCCTTTTGTTTCTTGTTTTAAGCGTGTTACGTGTTTATTTATTACTTCTTGACTTTTAGGGTTCCGTGAATAGTCTTTTTTCTTGATTGGTTTTTCGTGTGCGAGTTTGATCTTGTATTTTTTCATACTTGTCGGTGTTTCGGCCATTTCGTATGTAGGTACGATGTTGGCTTCTGTAGTTTTTCTTGACGTTGTTCCCACTTGTTCCCCTTGCTTGGTGCTATCTTTGGGCCATTCTATTTTGGCTCCTATTCTGTTCAGTATATCCATGCCGATCAGTATATTCGTGATTTGTGGATGATATAACACTTGGTGGTTAAATGTTTTTCCTTTTATATTTATTTGCAAGTCTAGTGCTTCTTTAATTCGAGTTGTGTGCCCATCTGTCATGCTAGCTGTTATGCTTACCATTGCAACGGGGCGTCTTAGCTAGCTCAGTCTGACACCCCGCTGTTTAGTACTAAGTCCCAGTTCGCTTTCTGCGATGAGGGATGTGTACCTATCTAGGATGCCTACAGGGATATTGACCAAGGAAACGCACAATCAATAACACAATGACACTTTGTATTTCTAATTCCACAATGGTTCCTTATTCTAACTTCACTGACTCTAAGTTTATTATTATTACGAGCAGTTACTTTACAGGTTATTTTACAATCACTAATTAATGGCAATGAAAAGAATAGCGACGCGCCCGGTCCGCGTCCCGAAACTAGTTTACGTATCCGCGAGAGGGGCGGCGCCCTGTGCGAGGTTTAGCGAGTGTTAGTGGATACTTATAACTAGGGGGGTAGGACGTGATTTCATACGCTAGAACCATGAGACCTAAGTCGTCAGGCGAGCTGAAATCACTAGGGGAAAGGCGTCGGACCTACGTGGCGAGGGGGTATGAAGTTTGGGATGGGTGGCAGCAGGATTGCTACCGCAGGTTCGGGATGAGTATCACATGCACTACTCGGTAAGGATGAGAATAGGCAGCTATCAACGATAGAACGTTTCAACAGCAACACGAAGCTTTATGGCTCCGCGGAGGTAAACGAGGTATCGAGTCAAGCCAAGTTAGTGGGAACAGTGTGGGTAGCAATTCGCTAGGGACTCTGTGCAATGCAACCGAGGGAACAATAGACGCGCGCGCGAACGTCTGGTTGTTGCAATGGCTCCCGAGCGAATGCTAGGCGCCCGCGGTCGCCGCCGTCTCTTATATTAGCTCGGTCCGTGCGGCGTGCGGCCGCGCAGCCGTAGGGTTGTCAAAATCTCCGCGCTCGGTGCTAGGGCTGTCGATGCGTCGCGGGGCGCGTCACAGTTATATTTCTTAATTACCATTATAATTGTAATTTAAGTATCAAGTCAGTTTTATTGATAACACAGATTGGCGAAACTATTAAAAAATCGTGTCTCATAAGTCATAAATATTTCTTTGTTATTACAGAGGCTCTATAAAAAGAGCTGTTTAATTTGTACCTTAGCACATTGGAAGGCCTTTGTATTGTCACGGAGGAAAAATCTTGAAAAGAAACATTGTCCATCATTTAGACACCTATCGGAGAGTACAAAACGATTGTTATTGCAAATATTTTAATACAAAAATCATCTGGTAGTGTAAAAAATTCGTAATCTATATGATAATGATAAAAAGTGTTTTTATCTTTGTGATATAACACTGGTAGACATTCACGGTTATACTGTTGTATTTCTAGTTCCACAATGGTTCCTTATTCTAACTTCACTGACTCTAAATTTATTATTACTACGAGCAATTACTTTACAGGTTATTCAACAATTATAAATCAATGGCAATGAGAGGTATAGCGACGCGCCCGGTTCGCGTCCCGAAACTAGTTTATGTATCCGCGAGAGGGGCGGCGCCCTGTGCGAGGTTTAGCGAGTATTAGTGGATACTTATAACTAGGGGGGTAGGACGTGTTTTCATACGCTACAACCAGAGACCTAAGTCGTCGGGGAGCTGAAACCGTTAGGGAAAGGCGTCGGACCTACGTGGCGAGGGGGTATGAAGTTTAGGATGGGTGGCAGCAGGATTGCTACCGCGGGTTCGGGATGAGTATCGCATGCACTACTCGGTAGGGATGAGAATAGGTAGCTATCAACGATAGAACGTTTCAACAGCAACACGAAGCTTTATGGCTCCGCGGAGGTAAACGAGGTATCGAGTCAAGCCAAGTTAGTTAGTTAGTTAGGGAACAGTGTGGGTAGCAATTCGCTAGGGACTCTGTGCAATGCAACCGAGGGAACAATAGACGCGCGCGCGAACGTCTGGTTGTTGCAATGGCTCCCGAGCGAATGCTAGGCGCCCGCGGTCGCCGCCGTCTCTTATATTAGCTCGGTCCGTGCGGCGTGCGGCCGCGCAGCCGTAGGGTTGTCAAAATCTCTGCGCTCGGTGCTAGGGCTGTCGATGCGTCGCGGGGCGCGTCACAAAATAAGTAGGTATAATTAGTAATTATTTTTCTACGTTTTAGTGTAGGTTTTTTGGAGTCGGTTTTATTTTTTTTTATTAAACAAGCTAGTTAAACAGTTTTTAAACAGGACTGGTCTTTGTGGAAGTCCTTGGGGGAGGCCTTTGTCCAGCAGTGGACGTCTTTCGGCTGAAACGAACAAACGAACGAAGATATTTAAGTATTTTAGATTGATTAATTGCTACAGCTATTTAGAGTGGTAAACAGCTTGCGGAAGTAAACTTCTGCAAGTTTTATTGCTAGTCTAAACCTCGCATTACACCTTCTGGGCAGAGCAGCTGCCCCCCCATGGAATCTCGCAGGAAATGTTTGAACTCGCCTGAAAGCGCTAAAGGCGTTAAGTCAATCGATCCCTAGGCCAGAAGCTGTCTTAAGTGACATTTCATCTGAAAAAATCTGATCCGTGGATGAGTTGTCTCCCTTTAAAAGTTAGTTGTTTAGTCTAATCATCCGCAAAATATTTATCTTCGGATGAAACGTCACCGTTTCTAAGTTGGAAGATATCTAATTTAATTAAATTAATATATTTCGGAAAGGGACCACACTTCCAAGTTTGAAACGGTAACGTTTCATGCGAAGATTTTGATCATTTTGCGGATGATTCGACACCTAACTTTGAAAGGGAGACAACTCATCCGCGGATGAGATATTTTCGGATGAAATGTCACCTAAGTCGCTGGGGACTTGTAACCCCACCAGTGTGACAAATCCTAATAGTCACCTCTGTAGAATATGCATTCGTCACAGCACCGGCACTGGGAGAAGTCTGCTGGCACGAACATGGTCCTCCATTTGCCGTACTTGGCGTCGCAGTAGCGGTCGTACTCGGAAGGGTGGACGTGCCGCTCTCTGGAATTTGACTTGTGGATAAATCCAGAATCATTGGTGGAAATCATCAATTCAGCCACAGGATATCTGCTGCCGAATATAGGCAGAAGATTTCGATATTAAAACTGTCATGTATCATCATGCATATATGTTACTTTGTCTAGCTAGGGGGATACATTACAAAAATAATTATATTTTTAATACAAACCTACACGAATCCCGAAACAGTTCACATTCGGTTTGATTGTTGAAATGTGGACATTGTGGACAAACTTGATAATCTGTGGAAGAAAAGTATGCATAAACTACGGTCTCCTAATAAACGTTATACGGGGCGTATGACGTCAGCGTCACACGTTCCTATCGACGTTCATAACATCAACGTTTGAAAGAGACCAGCAACAAGTCTATATAGTCTGGTCCGTGAGCACGTAGAATTTTGTCCAATGACCCCTAGCTACCCATCCTTATCGCTCGCGCGTAATTATGTTGCTATCGCGCTCGCACACTCACTGCGGGTGCCAGTCGCACAGTCGCGACAGCAATATAATTACGCGCGAGCGATAAGGATGGGTAGCTAGGGGTCATTGGACACAATTCTACGTGCTCACGGACCGGGCTTTAGTACTTAAGCATTGTGACGCAGCCTACGGTGTAGACCACAGTCTTAAAGTTAAGCAACCCGCGGCGCTGGCTAGACTGCTAATTTACCAGTAACTTTAGTCGGCTGGAGTTAAGATTAGGGACTAAGTATGAATGAATCCTGGGCCTAAACTCACCAATCCTGCCTTTACAGATCGGCCTGACCGTCCTCTTGCTAGGTATCTGTACCAACGTCGACGAGGGCCTGCTCTGCTCGCACCTGTCGTAGTCTATGTCCATCTCCTTGTTCCGGACCAGAGACAAGATCTCCGTCTCCCGCCAGTACTCGCTCGTGTCTTTGTCCTTGTCTATGAGCGCTATGAATGGGAGGTACTGGAAGAGAATGGGGATCTATGATGTAGGCCTAGGATGTAGTCTCAGTTGAGTAAATATTTATACCGGAGCCGCGATACGCTAAAATAGAATACTCGCATCAAGTGTCTTTAATTTGTTAGGATTTGTACTGAATACCATGAAAAATAAGATCTTTAGGAATAAAAACCCATGCGATGCTTTTAAGCGGCGGCTATCTTGCTGAAGTAAACTGCAAGGGGGTTGAGTAAGAAGATGTTCCAAAAATGACAATCGGGGTGATCAAATCCAGGTTATCAAAGTGGAATAGACTCCATGCGACACTGGTGTCCTTTGATCACCCATAGTAAGAAGTCCACTTTGATCACTTAGGTGACCTGATCGCCTGAAGTCCACTTTGTTCACCTGGGTGATCAAACTCATGTGATCAATGTGGAATAGTCCTCAAAAATAACTTGTAGATTTTTCTAAGCTTCTACATACTTCTTGTTTTTATCTAAAAAACACTTATGTACCTATCAGAAATACAAACTTGAAAACATAAAAATTGCCTCTTGTACTAGGATCCACTATGCAATTAGAGGATTATTGTAGTTTCTCGTCAGTTAAAGACAAGAAGGGAAGAAGCTCTTACCTCGAGATCGGCAGTAACAGTTTTATTCCCAGCCTTCGTTTTACCATCCAGAGACAGTACCGGCACCACACTTTTACCTTGAATCGAGCCTAGGTGAAAAACAGCGAGCAATAGCAAGATTTTCATGTTGTTTTTGCTATATTTTTCCTATTTCTGTATATTTGTAACAAATTTTTTTGACATTGATGAGTCAGGTGGTAGACTTCTAGCAGAATGTCAAAGTGTTTGACATCTATCAGTCGTAGAGAAAAAAGATAGAAGACTCGTGGCGTGGCCTATGCCGTGGTTACCGTGGCCGTGGCCGTGGCCGTGGCCAGCCTGAGGGAGTGATAATAGATCAGTGTAGATCCTCCAAGCTCTTTGTCTCTGGTAAATTAGAGACACCAATTGACCTGCCCCCCTAGACAAAACGCACTTTTTGATCGAATCGAAAATCGAATCCGTCAAAACTCCATACAAAAAAGGGCCTTTTCGACCACTTTTCGACTGGTTTGCGATTATAATTTGCACTTTGTCTAGACCCACTGATGATGATGATCAAAGAATATATCCCTTATTCAAATAAAGGTAGATATATTACCACTTTGTTTACTTTTAAAAAAGGATCCTAATTTTCGATATGGTAATACTTAAAGATATCTTGGTCACTTATTTATATTTTTAAATATATTTTTTTACTTATCTATGCCATTTTACAACTTTTCAACGTCATTTGTCACTGTCAGGTAATGTCAAAGTCAACCAAACGGTTTTGGTGTGAAAAATTTCAAGTTTTTAGCGCGCGTTTTTGGTATTTTTGAAACTTTGTTCAACGAAAATTCTGATAAGTGTTTTTTCGATTCAAATTCCTAAACTATAACATTTATTGTATAATCTCACTTATAGGCAACGTCTGTAATTGATTTATTCATATAATTTAGACATTCTAAAGAAGTGGTAAATAGTTTACCATTGTCCGATCCCGTCTTGACAAAAGTTTGCTGATATATAAAAAAAACTGTTGTTTTTTGTATGTGCACAAATAAAACTAAATAAATATTTGGAGAAATTTTAAGTTATTTTGATAACTATTTACGTAACGTTTTGACGTTACGTAATTAGTGAATTGTTAGTTTCAGACTCAAGGTAAGCATCCTAATTGTAAGCATAATAAGTAATATTAATAAATATTTTTTTTATAAAAACAATAAATTTATTTCATTCCCAAAATATTTAATAAAATATGGGTAGAACCAAGAGGAAGTCACTAGTCAAGAACCAAAAATAAACCAAAACGGACAATGGTAACTATTTTACCACCAACATTTAATAATTTGTAGTCATGAATGGATAATGGTAAATTATTTACCACCCAAAAAACTACCCCATCCACTATTTTTTTATAAATTTTGATCAAAAATATGAAATAAGTGACCCACAATTACCCAAAATCCACTTCAACTTTGTAAAAAAAATGCATACCAGCTCGCGTTTGAATAAGGGATATTGATGCCAATATCTTACTCAATTCTAGTCTAGTAGGTACCTACATAACATTGCTCACTGAGAACCTAAGCCGAGACCGTTGGTATTTGTTTTGGATAAGTAAGTTCCTAGTTCCAGAGATTATGCCAACAATACCTAAACAAGCTAACTGATAGTGTGTTGTGTAGTTAGGGAACATTTATTTATATTTTTACTTTCCAAAATCACTGAAGGGTGTAAATATACGAATTATAATCAAAAATCAAAATTATCTTTATTTGTTTAGACTAATTAAATTAGTAGGTACTTGCAAATCGTCAAATGCTCTTATGGAGCCTATACATGTCTCATTCTGTTTTGCCCCTACCAGCGCTTCGAGACAAACATTTGGCAAGTGCTGAAGCGCCGCAACAAACTCAGTCACCACTGTCTGCCGGTTTAAAAATATTTTTAAAAAAATATACCTACCTATTCTGACTGAAATGGGATGTAGAAATCAATATAAACACAACATCAAGTACAACCATTTATTTGAGTTCTGTAAATACATACAAAAGTGTCAAAACAATTGCCCCTGTACGGGGCTACCTTCAAGGCACAGCGTTCTACTCGCTTTAGACCTGCGCAGGCGATAGACTATCCAGGAGGTCCCTTTTTATCCAATAAATATACTTTATCAAATAATGCCCACAGAGGACCAAAATTATAGGTCGCCTCGCGCAGCGAGAGTTGAGGCGACAAGCACAAGCAAAGATGTCACCGCGCTGACGTCATGTGTAGTCTGACCGACAATAACTTTGTCTCGCTTGCTCACATTCAGCAAGAGCGAGGTAGATATAGTGTATTCGATATTTGAACTTGAATATTTATGTGTTGTGTGCGTTCCTGTACTTCCTGTATACGCCGCTATATTGCGCCGTGTTATAATTCGTGAGTGCCGTATACACCTAAACCTCAACTCTCGCTGCGCGACCTATAGCGATACGCCGTATAAAAAGTAGTGTCCTCTGTAGAAAAGTGCATCGTCTGCGCAAACGTTACACAAGACCTAAGCCAGCGAGTCAAGTCACCTTATGTTCTTAATTAGGTATAGGTAATATTTTAAGGGATACCATTGTCAGATATATTTTTACAGAAGGAACTAGGAAAAAAAAACAACTTGTCTCTTGCTCTACAACACTAGAACAGAATTGGAGGAGAAATATCTCACACATTTAGTATAATCCACTTTTATACAAGTCAATTAACAAAAAGACAGTAACAAAATCTTTTAGTGACATTTCCAGCTCATTTCTGTTACTTTAACGGGAGCAGTCTAGATTAATAAATAGGAATCGTCATGTTAACGTCACTGTTTTAAAAAAAAATGCTACATCTAAATTATCTGATGATTGTTGAACAACTTTTGGTTTGAATTTCATTGTGTTACATTACAATTCTCAATTTTACTTTACGTCTCTAATACTTTACCTCATCAAACAAATTTTAGGGAAAACGTGGTATTTAAATTAATTTTAAACCTATTTCTGTACAAGCTAAAATCTTGTAAATATGTATTACCTACAGTTTTATGAGCAAATCATATTATTTGGTATGAATATCATATTTTAGAAACGATCTACAATTTTTCTCACTTTTTAACTTCGCATAAAATAGCGTACCTAACTGTAAAATAAAATAGCGCAACTGTAAAATAAACAGCAAAATTGTAAAATGGTATCGCTGGACTGTAAAATATTTGTAACAGTTTATCTATTTCTGTATTTAGGATATTATAAAATTGCTAGATATAATTTTATGAATATGCACAACTATGTGTATAACTATGGTATGGAGTCATTTGTATAATACTGTTATGGCAGTGTATTTTATTATTTAAAAAACATAAAATTTTACATATTATATTATCTTATATGTATAACTTTTAAAATCACTCTTTGTGCAATATTCAGACAGTCACGACAACTATTTTTATATGTATAATTCTTAAGAATTATATCAGTACATCGTATTGATAAATTGTTTATTACTTTACTATAAATTTTATTCCTACGTGAAATTTTAAATCTAATAAAATACCAAAATTGCGTGTTGTTATTTTTACTTTAAAAATTTATCATACAATCTAATGGACGGATTATTTTATTTCTCTAAATTTTGAAAATAATAATATTGGGAATGACTAGAATCATAACACAGCTGTAGAGAAAGACAAAAAATAGCACTAACATTCATTCAATCAAAATAATAACTTCAAATAGGTATTAGAGAACTTGAAAAAGTCGTCTTATTTTTTAAGAAACAATAATAATCACTCTCTGCCATAATAAAGAGGTTGTCTCCAATAAAAACTAATAATAATTACAAAGCGTACAACTGCGTTACTGAACTTTAATAACACTTTTTCAAATATTCAAAAAACATTGACTTTCTCTCTAAAAAGTCAAAAAGGGAACAATAACAGTTGAAGATCGTTTCATCCACGAAGACGCGCCCCACTTATTTTTGGTCGAGGGAAGCGCGGGTGCGAGGAGTTTGATCCGAGCAATCCGAGCGTCATTATTGTATTGTGCGAAATGGATAATTTAGTGTGTACCGATAACACTCAAACATTAGCGGAAGAATGGTGGGGTGCGTCTTCGTGGATGAAACGATCTATGAATCCACATTATGCCTTTGGCTAAAAATATTTGAAAAAGTGTCACTAAAACTCTACGCATAAAAAAACCGAGATTCGGAGTCGAGTCCTTAAATTCATCGGATACTGGTCCTCAGATCCATCAAGGCACTTGCAGTAATCACCCCATGCCTTTGGTTCCTCCCCACAAAATGGTTGTAGTCCGCATCCCCCCCTATAGTGATCGTCGAAAAAGACGTGGAATTCCTTCTATGCTGTACGGAAGGTTTCTTACCACTCATGAAGCCGGTCTCCGAAGGACTTTGTCTCGTCACTGGCTGGAAATAGTCCCCGTGGCAGTTGGAATTTTCCATCCAGTGGCTGTCATAAGTTCTCGTAGCTCTCATGGGCTTGGAAATGGTCTGGTCTGATCTGTACTCTTTCAGAGGCCGTTCTATGGGCCTGGATTTGACTCGAGTCTTTTGGTCGGCGGAAGCGCTGACATGCTTGGGCTTAGAAGACCGGGATATCTCTGGGTCGTTGAACGATTTTCTGATCTTAGTTGTAGTGGGAAGAGTGTGGTTTTTGGCACTGTGGAGGATAAATTATTTTGTGTAATCTTTTCACAAAGTATACAAAATATCAGCTAAGTAATTTTAAAGATAAATAAGGTATTTTGAAGCAGAGGAACAGCTAGAAGGTAGAAGGAATTCCTGAGAGTATATTCTATTTGTTTATTACCAGAAAAATGCTTACAGAAAGGTCCAAAACTACTTTCACTAGTTGGTTTCATTGGAGGCCAAACCTCCTTTCAGGGGTAACGGGACAATTCCCACCTCTCGTCCCCACCGCTGCAACTCCTGTGCAGCCAGGAACTACAGCTTGACCGTCAATAAAACCCAACCAGTGATGGTCAAGTTTTTCCCACCTGAGGCAGTCGATACATACCTGGGCTGAGCCTTCTTCACGTGTCCATTGGTGTGAGTATGCGACCCCTTCGCCATGATGCTGTATAGTTTGTTCCTGTAGTCGTCCACTGACATCTGCTTGTCGTCCCTTAGAGGCAGGAGGACGTCGGAAGGCAGCGTCGGCTCGTCGCGTTCGCGGTGGAACCTTTTGATTCAGAAAAGTATTTTTTAGAGGGTTTTTTAGAAGAGAACATTTTCGTAATTCTCATTTCTTATGGCACACACTTGTCGATTATGGAACAGCGCCCTTTCAGTACTACAACTTTCTGCAGGGTCAACAGCCTCTGCATCAAGTGCCAGCTTCCAAGGGTTCGCACGTCATCAGCGTAGACAGATTGAGAGCAGCGGGGAGTAGTTTAGTCACGGATGTTCAATCTACCTGCAAACTGGTCTGGAGAAAAGAACTACCGTCTTCCAGTGTATGTAACACTCACTTTGTTACATAGTTGTGATCCAACACCTTTTCAACACGCCAACAGCAGACCCAGACACCATGCTGCATGCATGGTGAAGAAGACCAGCTAAGGTTAGCTTGTCAGGGCTATTCAGGTCTGCCTTCAGCAAGATAATCTGGAAAAGAACCCCTACCATGTTTCTGTTTCTACACCACTTACTTGGCAACATAATCATGGTCCAGCGCCCTCTCAGCGCTTAACCGCCTCGCAGGGTTGAACACCAGCAGCCTTTGCACCAGGTCTGCGGCATCCCTGGGCGCGCACGCCAACAGAGCGCTCAGCGCAGCCCCCGCCGCGCCCCCGCAAGCGGCTTGTTCACGGATGAGTGAGGAGCCGTAGCCGCTGCATACGGCTGATATGTCTGCAAGCGTCAAAACTCGAGGCATGAATCCTGTCACTGATAAAAGATACCAGTTTCAATGAGGGCNAAACTACCGACATGTTTTATTCTGGTTGATTCTGCATTACACAGTGATACAAGTAACATCTTTACTTATTGATTTCACCTCGTTCCTACCTTCTGTAACACTGCATTGCATAAAAATGCTTTGAAAGACTGAGTTTTTACCTGTATTGTTTTGTACGTAAGAACATAACATTACACAGAAGTGCTCTAGTCGACACTCAACTTAAAGTATTCCAACCTTTCGCTTATGGTCGAGAATATTATTCCAATGTTTGCTATCCAACGCAAAAGTTTCAAGAATACTTTTGTAGGCATTATAAAATTTTTACAAAGCTTCTGTAGTTCTGAAAATAACGAAAGTTTCTGTTGAATACAAAGCTGGTTAATGCCAGAATATTGTCAAAACTAAAACGTTTAAATAAGTTTTAGTAAATTAAAGTAAAGATCCTAAAGATCATAAAATTATCTTTTGAAATCGGTCATCACTCATCAGTGTTGATGTTTTTTTGTCATTTATTTTTTCAAATTAAATATTTATCCAAAAGTGAATCCAAAAGTTCAGAGTGAAAAGTGATGTTCCAGGTAAAGTGAGAGATTGTTTGAAAAGTTTATTCTCAATCGAATAATGACTCAACTCCAACCCTCTAAGTGAAACTCGAATGGAACGTCATTTATCAATTGAGTACCAATCCGGCGTCGAACGGAACATTAGCGTGGATCACTCAATTAGCGAGCAATCACTCGTCTATTAACGACTGTCGAATGGGGCGGACGGGAAAACACCACACGTTTTTGTCAAGAGGGGCCGATGGGAAGCGTCATGAATGTCCGTCACAGATGCCTAATTTGCTAATTAAAAATGTAGGTAGGAAAATTAATTATCTGGATGCCTACAGATCTGCGATTATTAAAAAAGGTGTAAAATATAGCACAATATTATGCAAACATTCGTCTTACTCTACTTACCAGTGTCTTTCTATGTAAGTATCTACCGTTAAAACTTTTGTACCGCATAATTTTCTCTGCTTAACCTATGGTTGACTGGTAACAAATGCTTCTTAACGTTAAGTCTGCAATTTGTACATCTTTATTGCGTGTAAAAAAGATTAAATAAATGAAAATAAATTATTCTTAATATAGGTCAATTAATATTTTTAATAGAATTATTTGACGTAAATAAATTTNTTGGGATTCTGGGCACCTAGTGAGTATTGTTCGTTATCTAAAATATCCCAGAATATATCGGCTCCAATCAGAACATCAACCTTCGACGGCTGGTGAAAGGTTGGATCGGCCAAAACAAGATGTGATGGTAAATTAAGATGTTTAATGTTAATAGGAGCTTTCGGAAGCTCAGTGGTTAGCTCATCCAGCACAAGACATGTTAGTTGTGCGCTAAATGATGTGTTGAGTGAATTTAGTTGGACCGAGCAGCTTTTGACAGCACGGTTGGAACAGCTGTTGCCTATTCCTATGACCTTGAGATTATTTAACGTGTTACAATTTAAACCTAACCTGTTTTGCAGTGATTTTGTGATAAATGAAGATTGACTTCCACAGTCTAACAGAGCTCGAACCTTCATTGATTGATTTGTGTTTGGGTTACGAACTTCAATCAAAGCTGTAGATAAAAGTATCTGCTGATTTTGTGTGCAATAATTGGAAAGTGTGGAGTCAGACGTGTCTATCGTAACGTTGGATATAGTTGTGGGAGCGTGAAGCAAGGTGTTGTGCCTATTTTTGCATTCACGACATGGTCCCATACGGCAATCACTAATTGAGTGACCTTGTCTCAAACAGTTAGCGCACAATTTGTATTTTTTAACGTCATTAAGTTTCTCCTGAACGCTTTTGGCTTTAAAAATAGAACAATTGTAGATTCTATGATTGCCACCGCAAATAATGCACACAAAATTATGCGATTCCTGTTCATGAACACTAGAGAGCGCCTTAGTATGAGTCATTCCCTTGTTATTGTTGCGCGCGTCGTAGCTGCGCGGCGTTGGGAGCGCATTCCTATTGTGATTGCTGTTATCGTACTTGTTTCTATTAATAGATTCTAACACGTCTGCGCGGTCAATTAAAAACTTATGAAATTGACTAAGTGTAGGCATATCTTGGAGAGTATTGCGGTACTCTTCCCACTTAGTTAAGGTATGATTGTCTAGTTTAGCTGAAAATATGAAAATAAGCAACATGTCCCATTGATCGGTAGGTTGGCCTAAGCTGGACAACGCGCGTAAATTTTTAGTCATATGGTCAACCATAAAGCGTAATGATTTTTCAGATTCACGCGATAGTGGCTGAATATTATTTAATAATGAATTTAGGTGATGGTTTATCAAAAGACGCTTATTATTATAACGATCGCAGAGAAGCTGCCAAGCTTGTTCATAGTTTGCTGACGATATTTCAAAATTTGATATAATCCTGGCTGCTTCCCCTTCTAGGTAGGAAACAAGATAATGGAATTTATGAATGGGAGATATTCTACTGTTATTATGTATTAAACTTTCAAAAGTATCATGGAATTCCAACCATCGGAAATAAGTACCGTCAAATTTTGAGATCTGAATTTGTGGTAATTTAAATCCTTAAGTATAAAAACGATAGCCCTCATTGACTTTTAGTATGGAAATGTTGTACAGGATCACGAGCACAACACTTTCTTATTTATAAGAGGCAAACATATAAAAAACATATAAAACATATTTATAAGAGACATATTATTCACTGAATCCCAAAGAAACTTATCTGAAAAACTTAGTGATACCGGTAATGGAAGAAAAACCTTTATTTATTCTGATCAGCTTGGTCAGGGGTTAGGTTCTATGCTCAGGGAGCACTTGAATACACAAGTCTTAAATTTTTGCTATCCAGGCAGGTTTCTGACAGAGATAATTTACGAAATTGGTCAAAACCAAGAATTAGATGAGAACTCCAATGTTATTATAATGTATGGTAATAGTTACTCTGTAGATAAAAAGAGTATAATTCAAAATATTGACCAATTATTGAATTTGCAAAATAGGTTAAAATTTAAGATAATTTTGTGCACTTTACCCTATGTAAATTCAGGGTATAATATAAATAACATAAACAAGAACATATTTGATTTAAATATACTTATGTATAACTTGACTTATCGTCATAGCGACGCACTTTTACTTTTTGACGTAAATAAATTTATTTCTAGCTTTAAGTTGACTGTAGATACAATGTATCTCTCGAAAAAATTAAAGAATAAATTAGCCTCATTGATTGCATACAATATTAAATGTAATTATATTCATAAAACCGATCATAGTCAGGGTACTNAGAATAAATTAGCCTCTTTGATTGCATTCAATATTAAATGTAATCATATTCATAAAAATAATCATAATCAGGGTACTAATAATTTGATTTCTCACTATGTAAATAGTAATAATATTAAGACTGTACCTACTACTAGTTGTTTAAACTGAGGCACTCGACAAAGGCCAAGTCTGGAACATTCAAAATTGTTCATCAAAATATTCAAGGCTTGACCAGCAAAGTTTTAGAAATAGAGCTTTTCTTAAAAAGTTTTGACATTAATGTAATGTGTATTACTGAACACTGGCTTAAGAAATATGAAAGCTCTCTTTACATAGATAATTATCAGTTATGTAGCGCGTTTTACAGGAAGTCTGCCATTCACGGAGGCTCCTTAATATTTGTCAATAATAATATTAAATGTAAAGAACGCAAAGATGTAGTAGGGCNATGACTGTACCTACTACTAGTTGTTTAAACTGAGGCACTCGACAAAGGCCAAGCCCGGAATATTCAAGATTGTTCATCAAAATATTCAAGGCTTGGCCAGCAAAGTCTTAGAAATAGAGCTATTCTTAAAAAGTTTTGATATTAATGTAATGTGTATTACCGAACACTGGCTAAAGAAATATGAAAGCTCTTTTCATAAATAATAATATAAAAATAAATAATAAATCATTTATTTGCTCAGAAACATGGTAACAAAATGGTCGATAGAAAATGTCAAGTCCAACATGTTTTGTCCAGGGTAGGCATGCAAATTTTACAAAATTAGAATCTACATAATATTAATTGCAAATTTTACAAAATTAGAATCTACATAATAATAATAACAATAATAAATTAATTAAAAAATTGAAGTCATTATAGGTACACAAATCAATCACTCAGAAATTCTTTGACAGTATAAAAACATTTATCAACTAACCATTCATAAAGACATTTTTTAAATTGGTTTACATGCAAGTCAGTNAATAGTACAAATTGATGTGCGTATCGCGACGATCGGAAGGCAAGTGAAATGACATTTGAATATTAACAGTAACTAGCTAAACGCCTAGGATTTTACTAGAGCAATGTTACATATTTTAGTATGGCGAGTGACGTATGCGCGCAGGAGCCGTAACACCCCCCATAATGTTTATATTGAATATACCTCACAAATAATATGTAGTTCTAAAACCGATGCATATTTGTATTTGTCAATTTCGTTTAAATTGGAAAGAACTATGGTAAAGCCTGGTCCGTGAGCACGTAGAGTTTTGTCCAATGACCCCCAGCTACCTAGCTACGCGCGAGCGATAAGGATGGGTAGCTTGGGGTCATTGGACAAAATTCTACGTGCTCACGGACCAGGCTTTAGCATATTTCTTTTGTTTGGGCAAGCGTACATAAAAATAAAGTGCGCCAATTGAAGATACCTACAACTTGCAATTGAAGTAATTGGATCAGACGTAGGATAGAAAAGGTTTGTACTTGTTTATGTTCTGAAAGTTGATAAAATATGGGATAATCCAAAAAACGGCGAGCGCACACATTCGGAATGAATATAATTTAGGCATGAGCCATTGAGTACGGTCGTAACATTAAAACTGGTCAGGTATGTAACTGCCCTAAGGGATTTTTCAGTCATAGGCGGTAGCGGAACGCTGCGAAAAATATCTGAAAAGATAGATAAAAATTGTATTAATGAATATTGCATACCTTACTTACTTACCCATACTTACGCCTGTATTCACAAACGTTACTATGAGGTCTCACAGTGCGGGTGGACGCACAAGGTGACATAATCAAAGAGCTCTATTTAACGCTGTGCGTTCGATTTGCTGCTTCACTAAGCAAGCATCGTTTGTGAATACGGGCGTTAGAAATGGTTTCAAATACTAATTTATGAGCAGTAAAAATATCAAATAAATCAAAAAAAATTATGGGCAATGAGAGTCATGTCCGGTAAGAGTAGTTGTCACGGAATTACGTGTACTGTAGACTTCACAGTACCTACGGAAAAATGTTATCGCAAGCGAGCTAAATAATTACTAGAAATGCGTTCTGTGTCACACTGTTGTGACTGTGAGGAAAAAAATATTCTGTTACACTGGCTGGAGTGACAGCGAGTCGAATGAGAGCGGTGTTTCTGCAGTGGACACATAGTTAATTTTAGCCAAATGACGTCAACTGCTGGACAAAGCCCCCACCCCAAGGTTTTCCACAATGAACGGTCCTGCGCTGCCCGCATCGAGGCTCTTCCCGCGACCTTTACCAGATCGTCTGTCCACCTAGTAGGAGGTCTGCCCACGCTACGCCTTCCAGCCCGTGGTCGCCACTCGAAAACTTTCCTGCTCCAACGACCATCGTCTCTACGAGCTATGTGCCCAGCTCACTGCCACTTGATTTCAGCAATTCTGCGAGCTATGTCGGTTACTTTGGTTCTCCTGCGGATCTCCTCATTTCTGATTCGATCACGTAGGGAAACGCCGAGAATAGCCCGCTCCATCGCCCTTTGGGTGACCTTGAGCCTTCTTATGAGGCCCATAGTAAGCGACCACGTTTCAGACCAATATACCATCACTGGAAACACACACTGCTCAAAGACTTTTGAGACATAAATGATTTTTTTTTGTTTTATTAGTCTCTTTTCCAATATTTATTTTGACAATTAGAAGATAGAAATAAAAGGATTTTTTTTATTTTATTTTCACTTCGTCTTTGTAATCTGTTTGCGCTTGCCAATTGCGCCACTCGCCACAATACCCTGCGCCTTAGATATTATGGATGGGCTTTAATAAAAGTTTGTGTTACGATTATTGTACTCAGTACGCAACATTATTTAGTTTGTTTTCGCGATATTTATCTTCATATTTCATTTGGAATCGCCATTTTATTTCCTTACCTGAAAATTAAAGTCATAAACAGAACATAAAGTTTAATTGTATTTGTACCCTTTAAATATTATATCGCATCATCATTAGCATCATTTTAAGCCACAGGACGTCTACTGCTGAATAGGCCTCCCCTATTAAGTAATTTCCATATTGCCCAGTTGGTAGCAGCCTGCATCAAACTCCTTCCTGTTATCTTTATGAGGTCGTCCGTCCACCTTGTGGGTGGACGTCCCACGCTGCGTGTATGTTTGCCATTATCTTTTGTTTACTACTAGCGAGTCAATGGGGATGTTGCCTGGGTCAAAAAGCAAGAGTTTTAATTAGTCCGTCAGTTAACTTATCAAAAAATACTCTACACGTATATTTCATTTTTTCAAACTAATGAAAATTTAAAGAGATAAAGCGCCCCAAAGTTCATAAGAGGCCCGTGACGTCAACGCTTGCTTAAAAATGCCGCACGTTGTGACGTCGTGCGTAACTTCAACGCACCATAACTATGTAATTATTTGTTAGATTGACAAATAAAAATATATGTGTCCAATATTTTTTGATATTAAACATTACGGACTAAAAAAATTTTTTTAGGCAACTAGCCTAATAGGCTGTCATGAGCTTTCTCTCATTGATCCAAAATGCTGTTGTAGATACATTCGACTGCACATTATAATGTCATTTTTGTTGTAACATAGTAGGTCTACTTATTACAAACACATAATATTATGATGGCAGTGTATATCTTGAGGCGCTTTTAGTGCTTGTATTGCTAAGAGCACATGTACGTGTGATAGAATTATGTACTTACTTAATATCTGGAGTTCGAAGTGATCATAATACTATGTATCTAAATATACAATATAACTCAAAGGTGACTGACTGACTGATTGACTGACATAGTGATCTATGAAAGCTCAGCCCAGACCTCTGGACGGATCGGGCTGAAATTTGGCATGCAGGTAGATGTTATAACGTAGGCATCCGCTAAGAAAGGATTTTACGCAACTCCACCCCTAAGGGGGTAAAACAGGATCCACGCGTACGAAGTAAGTTTAAATAACAATGAGAATACATACCATAAGGGAAGTTTAAATAACAATGAGAATACATACCGAGCGAGAACCTCATTACAATGTAATGAAGCACCCGTCATGTATCTATTTACTTGGGTATCCTTTCGTTACATAGTCGCCAAGTCGTACCTATAAGCTCTGCCTAATTCATAAATACAAGCCAAAATATAGTTTTTGGCTCCATTATCATTTCCCCAGTTCAGATTCAATGCCATTACTAGAGCAACAGTTTTAACGATACATCGCTCCGAACCATTGAATATTATCTAAAACGCCCCACGGTGCTGACAACTATTCGCAGCAAGATAATGAGGCCTTTGGTCAGTAGTTTCATGGACACCGCACCA